GACGTACAGATAGGGTTAAGTGGTGGCACAGAGTTCCCCACGTCGTATGGATACGATAGTAAAACACGACGTACGAGTAGGGTTAAGGATGCAGTGAATAAATAATATACCCAATCAGCGGCAGAGCAAACACTGTGTTTCGGCCCATTCCAAACCATCAATATGGTCGCTTTTAAGCACAATGGGGCTATCCCGAAATATGCTGTTTTGAGAAAATCGAAGGTATCGTTTTTGGACACTTGTTCAGTTTCTTTTAAAGACAAGCAAATACACACACCAGTGAAACCAAACTTCTGCTATCGGTAAGTCAATGCCCACTTTTGGTGTAGGTCAAGATTTCTTTAAACCCCCGAAATCTGGGTTAGCCTGCTTGTCTTAAAAGCGACCATATACAGTTCAGATAAAGAGGACACAGTCGAAAAGTCTGTTTGAAATTATGCCACACAACAGAGCATAGTGGGTGGTTGACGGGTGTTCGTTTCTTCTTTCCCATCAAACATCTATCGTTCTCATACCTCTCCTCCTTTTCTGTGTTTTTTACTCTCTTGTAACACCTCTAATCTTCAGCACTTATATGACTTAAGGTGTTGTAAGCGCCGTAAAACACTAACAAAAACGAAACTAAAACAGCATCTCTGTGTTACTAAAACGGAACACGTCTCTGTGTGTTACTAAAACAGAGCATGTGTTTTAGCCTTGTCGAATGTCCAGAATGTTCGCCCTCAAGGAGTTAAAAGGTCGTGACAGGAGGAACATCGTGGCTTCTATTTGTAGGTATGTTCACTTAACCAGCGTTGATATTGCATCCGTGTCTGTCACAAAGTCCACCCTACACGCCTGATGTCGCAGAAATAATTAATTACAATCTGACTCGCACACTCATGTTTGTCTTCCGCCGAGCACGGGAGAGGATTGCAACACACTGGATTACTCATTGTGAATCTGTTATTGTCTCTTGACAACACGCATACATCGAATATTCTTTGAAAAAAGCAAAAAACAAAACAAAACTAAAGCAAACTGCAGCCGCATCTCTTAGTCATCGTTTTTACATCGAAGACAAGCGGTGCAGTAATTATACATGTTGTTATTTTCTTTCCTACGTTTCAACTGTTGTGTTCATGAGTCAAGTGTTTTGCCTTTTATAGCGTTTAGTACTTCAGCTAGAGGCTATCACAGTCATCGGTGGAGAAAGCAATGTGTTTTCTGTTGAACACTTATAAATTATTGTTCAGTCCAGCCTGCCTAACAAAGCTGTAGTGTTGGAGATTTGTCAAAAGTCAGGTGGTTGACTTCATACAGTGTTTACTTTAGTTTTTCACTTACTTTTCCATCCTCTGTTGCCGTTAAGCGTCGAGGGGTGAATTACAGGTTTATTCAGATTAGCGATCCCAGTCGAGGCTGAAAAAAACAACCCCTACAACAACCAGTTGGTTTTCTGTTGAGCGCTTATCATTCAGTTTTCACAACAAAGTTGTAGTGTTGGAGATTTTTCATAAGTCAGGCGCTTGACTTCATACAGTGTTTAATACTGCCTTATTAAGTTAATCTATCCCAGTCGAAGCTGAAAAAAACCCCCAAAACAGCCAGTTGGTTTTCTCTTGAGCACTTACTATACATTTTTCACAACAAAGTTGTAGTGCTGGAGATTTTTCTTAAGTCTGGCGGTTCATTTTATCCAGTGTTGAATACTATTAAGCTAAGCTATCTCAGTGGAAGCTGAAAAAAAAAACCCCACGAGTTTGTTTTCTGTTGAGCACTTATCATCCCGTTTTCCTAACAAAGTTGTACTGTAGTGCTGGAGATTAAAATCTGCGTTTAACAACTTGCCAAGTCAGTTTATATCGACTTAGCTGCTGCGTTTAAAGCTGTCAACAAATCTTTAGCTTGAAGAGTGGGAGCCAACTGGTCTGATAATTATATTTTTGGCCACTTTCCCCAAGTCGGGATCGATTTGCTCAAGAAAACAGAAGTTCAATAAGTGTGCTGTGTTGTTCTGTTCACGGATAGCCATCATGCATTCCTTCAAAACCACGAAAATCGTTCAACATCGGTCCAGTAAGTATTCCTAGATATCCAGATCTAGATCTAGATCTAGTTTAGAACAAACAATATATTATTATAAATGCATTCTATAATGTGGATATTATAATACATTGTTTTACTGTTATGTCGTTGTTCCTTTTGCTTCCTTGTTTTGATTTGTGTTAAGACTTCCGTAACGAGCGACCACCCCAACAAACACAGTAAAAAAGGGATGTAGACATACCTCAACGCCGGGAGGACTTCCGTAACGAGCGACCACTTTGAGACAGTAGAACTAGGGGGTAGGGTGTAGGGGCTAGGGAGCAGGGGGTAGGGTGTAGGGGCTAGGGAGCAGGGGCTAGGGGCTAGGGGTAGGGTTTGGGGTAGGGGATAGGGGTACGGTTTGGGGTAGGGGTAGGGGTATGGCAGTGGTAGGATAGAGGTTTGGGGTAGGGCTAGGATTAGGTCTCTTCTTTATTGTGCTTGGGTTGGTCGCTCGTTACGGAATTCCTCCCTCAACGCCTAACCTTACCATTACCCTTACCATTACCCTTACCTTTACCCCTACCCCAAATCCTAGTCTTAACCCTAACCCTACCCTTCTTTCCATAGTTTAAAAAGTTCTTATGCACGGTAGAATTGTAAATAGGCTGATTTATTAATGCCATGCTCATACTGTGCCGGAACAACATAGGGGGAACTGCTGCTTTTTCTTTTCTAATCCTTACAATCCTCAATTCCCTCTACTTCTGTTGTATGTTTGTCACTCTCTTGTGACCCGCTATTTCCGGGGTGCCTTGATGTCGAACTTTTGTGCTGTTGAAGCTAGAGAGGTGAGCAGAGTAAGTCTGATTCTCCGGGGGTTTTTTTTACTTCTCTGTTGACATTAACCCCTTGGCGCTCATATGACGTTATGCAGTTGCGAGCGCCGTTAAAGCTCTACTAAAACCAAACTAAAACAGAATTCCTCCCATATTTTCTTCTAGCACTTCTAGGGTCGTGTTTCCAGCGAAATAATAGGACCGTTCGGGACTGCCTGGCTATTTAAGACTTCACGTCAGTAGAAACGAAAACAATACAATACATGAAGTAAGCCTATTATGATAGTTCATTCTCTGAACCCCCGCCCCCTCCCCCCCCCCAAAAACAAACAAACAACCCAACAACAACAAACAAACAAACCCACAACAAAGCGTACGTGTCCCCAATAAACGTAACAGTTTTATAGATAGATGACATCACTGGCACTGCTGGAAATGATTGGTTTGGCTTCTCAAACAGAAGGGTTTTTGGTGTCTTTTAATAAATGAACCCGAGCTCTGTAAGCTGTCTTCACGACCGAAATCTAGTGGTATCATGATTACAAACGAAAATGAACCCCAAAGAAAGCGTGTTATAAATGGATATTGGCATGAAATTATATATAGATATATATATTACATATTTTATGAGAGGAGTTCCGCAGAGGGCTGGCACTTACCATGACAAGGGCCATTTTGCAAACTATACAAGGGCCAGGGTTAGGGTTGGGGTTTTTTGTTTTAAAGCAAAAAAATAATCTTCCCAAATTGTTTCGTTTTTTGTTTTTTTTTAACCTTTCCAAAGTACTGAACTCAACTTTTTTGGTGGGTGGTTGATGGGTGCTCTGGTGTGGTTTGCCCCTTCTTTCCTATCAAACATCTATCGTCCTTATCTCTCCTCCTTCTTTTTTGTGTATGTTACTCCCTTGTAAAGGCTCTAATCTTCGGCACTTATATGACCTTATTGAGTTGCAAGTGCCGTAAAACTCTTTTATAATATTAAAACAGTTTATTTGTATACGCCGCTCAAAATACCCCCTCTTTCGTGTGCTGTTGGTCGACTGGCCTTCTGTAGGAACTCCTTCCCATTTTATTGTTAATGATTAGACGATCGTTTTTATTCTCTCCCCCCCCC